TGCTTCCTGCCGCTGCGTCGGCCAGGGGGCGGGTCGAGCTAGCTAGCTCAATAAAGGACCTTCTGCTTTTGCATCGAACTGGCTGGCTCCTGGTGTGGTCTTTGGGGATCTTGAGATCTGGGCATAACACTCCTCCCAACAAGACAGAGAGTCTATCCCACTACGCTGAATCTTGTCTTGACCATGTGACTTGCTTTAGCAAGTAACAAACCTGACATAATCAGAGGCTTACACGGTGGTTGACTATTGGGGTGACCCCCTCTTGCTACTAAAACCCTAAGGCCATTATGGGAAGAAGCAAGGGCTTTAACCTCCCAGAGGATGAGTAAAAATATGGGGAGATAGATCCTGCCAACCCACAGGATTATAGAAAGTAATAAATGGGGTTTTTTAAAAACTACTAAATTTGAGGGTGGTTCATTACACAGCAAAAGCTAACTGAAATCATGACTAAGCTATCAGCAGCAACTCAGTATCAACAAGTAGGAGTTAGTGAAAATTTGAAGCAGAGAAAAAGCTTCTTTATTTTTCCTTTTCTTCACAGACAGAATGTGAAGAACAGAATTTTAAATTTCATCAAGAAAGAATATAATATTTAGACCAGAGGAAGAATTCATTGGCAGCAAGGAGACCTACATAAAGACAAAGGCAGGCAGACTCTCTCATTCTCACCCTAATTTAGATTTCCAGGAATCATCTACTCATTGCACTTCCTGCTCTGGAATCCTGTGCAAAGAGTGCTATTCTAAAGGCCAGGCCTCCCAGCAGGAATCTGAAGAGCTGAGAAAACCCACAAACAGCAGGAGTCTGTAGAGCTCAACAGTCAGGCCAGGCCAGCCTGCACACACACTGCACATTAAGGCAGAAGGCCTTCTAGTGACTTCTCCTTTTTGGCAGATAGTGAACTCTTCACCAAAGACATCTATCCAGAGACCTATCTGGCCCACAAAGCAGCTCTTTATGCCAAAGAGCATTAACTGGTGAAGCCAGAAAAGTAATTCCTAGGAAAGTGGGGGCAGCACCAGGCTGAAGGGGAAAGCAAGCTGGTTATTCCAGGAATGAGCTGAAACCTTCCTCTCTCCAGAATGGAAATAAAGCTAGAGCTTTTTGTCAAAACCACAGAGAAGGCACAGGGGTAGAAAAAAACACAGGACTAGATTAATGACTGTGTTAAAAGGAGAAGACATGGGTTTTTGGCCCAGTTTCACTGTTGATTCTTGTGTGTTCCAACAAAACCCAATCACACAAACACCTATAATAACTCCCTAAGAGAAGCTATTTTCTGCAATTATGTTAGATAAATTAGAGATGTTTCCTGATTTAAAGAAACTCAAAGACTAGTGAGAAAGCCCTGTAAACTCTGTGAGCTTTGGTTTCTATAAGTGTAAAATAGGAAAATATACCTATTTCACAAGGTTATTGTGAATAACAAATAAGTAGCATAGAGCACATAATACGGCACTTGGTATACAACATGTCCTCAATAAATAATGATCATTATTTATTACAATAAGAAAGAAATGGACACAGTGCCAAAGGAATATAGAGGCAGAGTATTTAATCCATTCAAGGAAGGAGATGGTTCATGGGAAAGCTTCTCAAAAGAAGAGACGTCTGAACTAAATAATTTTACTATCTGCTAAAATTTATTGACTTATGAGGAAGACTAAATCTCACAACTATATGAAATAAGTATGTAACATGCAATTATTGTTCTTTGGCATGAATTATCCTCATTTTACAGATGAATAAATAACAGAGTTTATACACCCTTTTATATACATTTATTAGTCAGGATTTGAACTTTAACTGGCTGATTCCCCAACCTCAGTGCTGTATTTAAAGGATGAGCAGCCCTGGTTAGTGTGGCTCAGTTAGTTGAGCAACATCCTGTGCACCAAAAGGGTGCTGGATCGATTTCTAGTCAGGGCACATGCCCAGGTTGTAGGCTCAATCCCCAGTAGGAGGTGTGCAAGAGGCCGCTGATCAATGTTGTGCTCTCACATCGATGTTCCTCTCTGTCTCACATTCTCCCTTCCTCTCTCTCTCTCAAAATCAATTTTTAAAAATCTGTTTAAAATCTTCTAAAAATTAATAAATAAAGGATAAGCAGACTCAGTCTAGCAAAGGTATGAGTATGAAGGAGTAGGGTGGAGATGTGGAGTGCTCCCTGGAAAGGCAGTAGTAGAGCAAAGGTGAGGGGCAAACAAAGGTACAGCTCATAAAAGGAATTTAATCTCACTGGGTCTCAATTTCCTCACTAATTAAATAAAGGAATAAGGAAGGCAATTAGCATGTGTTAGGCCCTTCTATATGCAAAACACTCTTTCAGTTGCTTCGTTTTGTAATATCATTAATTCTCATAGCATCCTAGGAGTGGGCATGAGAATTCCATTTTATAGGCAATGTAATGGCTTTCCTCCACCAGATCCCTCTAACACCAACCTCCTAGGTTCTTCTCAGTGAGATGATGTATGTCAATAGCTGCCCTAGAACACAGCCCCATGCTCAAGAAATGCTCAGTTCTCCTCTTCTTTCAGCTGCTATTTCCTGGAATACACTAAAATATTCTAACATGGAATTCAGATTTAACCACAGATTAACGGCCATAAACTGCTGGAAAACTGCTTTCCCCTTAAGCCATAACATAACTCCTATCAGTGGAAAGAGGACAAAATGGTAGCCAGTGCAAGTAGAAAGCAGAAGGTTTTCTTATATTTCTGCATTTTAAGTGTATAATTTGATGCATTTTGAAAAAAAAATGTACATATCTATAAACCCACCACCAAAAGCATTTAATATTTTAATTACTCCAGAAAGTTCCCTCATGCCCCTCTGAAGTTAATCCCCATGCTACCATCCCTACCCCCCAGACCCTCAGGTAATCACTGATTTCCTTTGTTACTGTGGATTAATTCTCTCTGTTCTAGAATTTCATATAAATGGATTCATACAATATGTACTCTTTTGTGTCAGGTCTCTTTCACATAGAATGTTTTTGAGAGTCATCCAAGTTGTGTTTATCAAAAGTGTTCATTTTTATTGTTGAGTTATTTTCAGTTGTTTGAATATATCAAAATTTGTTTGTTTCTAGTTTGGGTCTATCAGGAATAAAGATGCTATAAACATTTGTATACAAGCCTTTGTGTGAACAAATGTTTTCATTGCTCTTAGGTCAATATTGAAAAGTGGGGTTGAATTGTATGGTTTAATTTTTAAAGAAACTACCAAACTGTTTTCCAAAGTGGTTGTCCTTTCCCTGGATGTTTTTAAGACTCTCTATTATTGGTTTTCAGCAACTTGACTTACTTTTTTGCTTTTTTTTATAGCTTTACTGGTATATAATTTTAATATAATAAATCCATATACTTAAAGTGTTATCATTTGATGAATATATGTGACCATCACCACAATCTAGATTATAAACATATCTACACCCCAAGAAGTTTCTTTATGTTCCTTTGTAATTCTTCCTGTCCTCCCCCTCCCTCATTCCCTACACAACAATTGATTTGCATTTTGTCACTACAGATTAGTTTGCAACTTCTGGAATTATATAAATGGAATCACATATGTGAGAATAAACAAATCATCTTTTCTGTCAAAGAACAGTTTAGACAGCCTCATTTTGGGCTGTGTGACTTGGCAGCCGCCATGTTGGCCGCATGGCTTGCAGCTTCCTGGGGGCCACCATCTTGAAACAGCAAAGGCCAACCCCTCCCTTTGAATTAGCCAATCAGGAAAGACTGTGAGCCTGAGCTCCAATCAAGAGCGAGGGACAGGTCACACATGTCAGGGATTTTAAAGCCAAGCAGCCCGCCTACTCGGTGTGCACGTGCTTCCAGACCATGTGTGCGCACCCTTCTACGTAGAAGTAAAGATGTTTGCCTGCTGCCTGGCTCCCGAGTCTGGTCTGTGTTCTACCAGGACCCCTGACTTGGGGGGCTCGCCTTATTTCTAACACATAGTATATTTTTGTTGTCTCTTTCACTCGGCATCATTCTTTTAAGATTTATCCATATTGTTCCATGTACCAATGGTTTATTCTTTTTATTGCTAAGTAGTATCCTCTTTATGGATATAACACAATTTGTTTATCCATTCAACCACTGATGGACATTTGGGTTGTTTCTAGTTTTTGGCTATTACAAATAAAATCAATATGAATATTCATGTAAAAGTCCATTCACATGACTGGACATATGCTTTTGTTTGTTTTAAAATATATTTTTATTGATTTCAGAGGGAGGAAGGGAAAGGAAGAGAGAGAGAGAAATGATGAGAGAGAATCATCGATCAGCTGCCTCCTGCATACCTCCCAGGTCACAAGCCTGAAACTGAGGCATGTGCCCTGACTGGGCATCAAACCGTGACCTCTTGGATCATAGGTCAATGTTCAACCACTGAGCCACACCAGCTGGGCTACTTTCATTTCTTTAGGGTAAATCCTGGGAATGAGATAGCTGAATATATATGTATAGTAGGTACATGCTTAACTTTTATGAAACTGATAAGCTGTTTTCCAACATAACTGTACCATTTTACATTCCTACCCAGCAGTATCTGAGAGTTCCAACTGCTCCACATCCTCAATAACATATAGTCATCAGTGTCTTTAGAACCTAGGTGTTTTGTGATGTAATTAAAACCACAATCTCATTGCAGTCAAACTCAGATCTAGTCATGGCTTTGGGCCTATGCACAATCTAGTCCAGCAAGCAGTCAGTGACACTGGGGGCTGGGTAACTAAATTCTAGCAGAGTCTCTGTGATGAGCTTGCTGCCCTTTATGCCTGTTACAGCTTCAGGTAACAGGTGTACAACAGACCAAGAAGAGGGTGGAACTTGCTGTTCCAGCCATCAAGCTAAATAGCCAAAGACTTGTAATAAAAATTAAAAATGTTATTAAATGGCATTTACACCAAAACACAAAAGAGGATGCAACAACTTTTAGATTTCAGCTAAAATTTTAAAAATAACAACTAGCAAGTAAGTTCTTACCTCTATGCATAATCTTGTGTTTCTCCCTCAGATATGTCAGGCCTTTTATTACCTAGAGGAAAGAGAATGTGAAAAGATAGCAAATGGAAATGGTGGTGTTTAGAAAATACTCAATGTCTCTATTTTAAAATGACCTAGAAAATATTTTATCTAACATCACAAATTTTTTTATTCTTTCTTTTGTTTTTTTTTCAACCTGCCTTATCAAGAAACCATCTTTTTACATGGCATATAGAGTATTATTTATGAGAGAGTATATAAGTAAAATTGATTATTGCAAGTTTAAACAACATTAAAAACCACTTTACTTGGCCCAGCCAGTGTGGTTCAATGGTTAAGCATCCACCTATGAACCAGAAGGTCACAGTTCGATTCTGATCAGGGCACACACCCAGGTTGTGGGCTCAATCCCCAGTGGGGGACATGCAGGAGGCAGTCGATCAATGATTCTCTCTCATCATTGATGTTTCTGTCTCCCTCTCCCTTCCTCTCTAAAATCAATAAAAAATATATTTATTTTTAAAAACCACTTTCCTTGAATTCATTTCTTTCTAAATCAGCAATGAAAAAGAGGCTTTCTGATGCCACAAATGAGAATTCTTTTGGATACCTTATCGTATTTTTCAAGACACAGATTTTAACACAGAGTCACTTTTCTAATTTTAATTTGAGAGAGAGAATTGTATAGGGAATATTCTAATGAGTAAACCCCATTTTCTTACAAACTTTACCCTGTTGACTTCCTAGCTTCCTCCCTTGTCTATTTCCTACCACGTCATTAACTTATCAATGAGGGGACTTGGAAGGAAAACTTCACAATATACTCACAGCAATGCTAACTTTTCCTAAAATTTGTTCAGGAATTCTTCCAGCTTTCTTCAGGACTTGATCCAAGGAACCCCCATCCTAAGAATAAGAATACCAGCCCATTTAGTGATAATGTTTCTAACTATTCATTCAAGTGTTAAACTTCATGAGGAAAGTGAGTCACATACTTGGCAAATCCTCCTAGAAGGGTACCCTTTGGTTTGTTCCAGATATCAAATATTGTATGAATGCAAAACATTGGGGGGGGGGTATCAAATAAATAGTTACTCAAATCCTGTGAATAATCATTAAATTACTAATTCAGTAGTCAAAATAACAACTTGATTTGCACTGTACTGACACTATAGTGTAATGATTATTAGTGCAGCCTCTAGAGACAAACTGTCTAAATCTGAATCCCAACTCTGCTGCTTACTATCTAGGGGACTTTGACCACCAAGTTAAACAACTTATAAATTGGTGGTGATAATAATTATAAGGCTATTATAATAATCATAGGGCTATTATAAGTATTAAAGAAGCTAATCAGAGAAAGCATGAAGAACAATGTCTAGCACACAGTAAGTGCTCAATCAATGTTAGCCATTTTATCACCATCATAGAAGTTACAACTTACATTTGGTATTATCCTAACAAATCATAATTAATGAAAATGTTTAAAATGTCATAGAAATCAATACATTCGTTCCACAAATCCTACCAAGTGCCATGGGCTATGTCAGGTTCTATGGCAGATAGAGATATGAAAAGGACCTCGTTTCTGCTCTCAATAATTTTACAAACTAACATGGAAAATATACATCTCTTAATAAAATATAAAATGTATAAATATAAAAGTGTTGTAGACGTGCAGAAGGGAAAAGTAATTCTGACTTAAGAATGGCATTTGAGCCGAAACCGGTTTGGCTCAGTGGATAGAGCGTCGGCCTGCGGACTGAAGGGTCCCAGTTTCGATTCCGGTCAAGGGCATGTACCTGGGTTGCGGGCACATCCCCAGTGGGAGATGTGCAGGAGGCAGCTGATCGGTGTTTCTCTCTCATCGATGTTTCTGACTCTCTATCTCTCTCCCTTCCTCTCTGAAAAAAATCAATAAAATATATTTTAAAAAAAAAAGAATGGCATTTGAGCTGTAATCTTACTCAAAGAATGAATATGATTTCCCCACCTGGAACAGGAGAGGAGCAAGGGGAGAAAAGAAGAGGGTATTTCACTAAGATCAAAAGCACAGAAGCATTAAATTGCATGGAATGACAAGTGGTTCATTTCACTGTGGATACATGAAGAAATGCAGTGATGGATCAGGCTGGAAATGGCCGGCTGTGGCCACATCACAGAGCCCCACCAAGGAACCAAGACTTGACTTTATGGAGGCAGAAGGATGGGAATCCCACCAGGGTATTTTAAGTTGGAAACAACTGCATCCCTTTCCCCGCTCCCTTCCACTCTCTCTAAAACAATGGAAAAAATATCCTCACTCCTTGGATGAGGATAAAAAAGAAAGAAATAGTACAGGTGTGGATTCTCAAAAGCACACTAACAACCCTGAATATATTTCACTTCTAATCATAATAAACTCCCTAGCACAACTACCTAATGGTGGATCGGGTCAGTCCACCAAAGAGCACGGTAGAAGATTGTAAAATTCAACCTAAAAAATCAAAAGTGCCATAATCTCCACACAGATACAAGGATGGCATTATGAGTCTAGAACCAAACAGAACTCCCCTGTGTACAGGCTTATTTTCCAAGAGCCCTACTCAGGGTGAGGTGGGAGTCATCCTGTGAGCCTGGCTGCCTTCATAATGCCACAGGCTCCTGATGTCCAAACCAAGACAACACAAATAGCCCAAGTAACCACTCCCAAGTCAGCTGGCACCTCTCGATTTCCTTTACTGATGGGAAGAGGAATCCCAGTAAAGAAAGTTTCCCAGTCATTTCTATTTTGCTTCCAACTGAATGTGGTTTCAGATCCTCTGTTTGCAGGGCTCTGCCTAATTCTCAGGGAGGACTTAAAACAAGGTAACAAGACAACTCTGTCAAAATCTGGTTTGAATAAAGTAGAAAAGCTAACCCTGTGGTGCTCAGGTTCTACAGCCTAGCATAGAGGGTAGCTAACTGTTTTGGTTTACACTTTCCCTGGGAGTCGTGGTAAATATTTCTAATAAAAAGGAAATATTTCCTTTCACCTCCATCTGAGCTATAATCAGAGTTACAGTGTGAACAATGGAATTAGCAAGATTTAAGAAGCATGAACCACAGTTGGGATTACCCAGAGTTGCCTGCAACTCACCTCACAACCTTTTAATTCTGCTTCACTGTTGCCAAGGACTTGCCTTCACTAACTAAAGCTGCTGAAACTGTGCTTATTTTTAGAAGCTGATTATTAACCAAGTCAATGGTGCTTTTGTGAAGCTTTTCTATAGAAGAGATAAATGATTTATGGAGAGAAAAAAAAAGAGCTCAAAAGCTTTGCTACTGCATGAGAACCATCAACCCTGAGTCCCCAGTCCTCTGGTTGCCCAGCTACCAGCAGAGCAGAAATCTACTTCCCCAAAGACAAGAGCATTCCTGTTTTGATCAGGGAGAACTCATTTACCCCTGGGGTATCAGAATTCAGATGGGGCAGTGCACACACAGCTTATCTCTAGGAAATGCAGACCCTGGCCAAGGGTTTTAGAAATGAAGGATTCCAGAATGAGGAAGCCTCAAAGCAGGTCAATTTATGGTAAATTGAACAGACTGTCCTCTACATGGCAAGAAGCCATGTAAAGCTATTATAAGAGGTTCCAGCAAGGTCTGAATAAATGAATAGGCCACTGCCTATCAATATTTGAACCTAATCCTAAACTCTAAAGCAAGCACCCTGAAGTTCAACCATGCTCACTCCACAAATAGCCTCCTGTTTGCCCTATTAAAGGAAGAATTCTGGGTGGAAGATTTGGAGGAAAGAATTTCTGATGGATCAGAAGACAGCAGGCATGAAATGACACATACTTGGTGCTCAAAAGCCCTCATGTCCACACTGATACTCCTCACTTGAGCATCAATGAGGAGTATCAGTGTGGGGCAGCTCTAGGGGCAGAGATGCTACTCGCAATGTCTCTACCTCTCAGCTCATGTGGCACCTTGCACATAACTGGCACTATAAATAATTGTTTGTGAGGCTGAACTCACGTTGATTAACTAATGTAAATCCTTGACAGGCTGTAAGTGCCAAAAACCACAGAAACACAGAATGTTAGTTTGGGGTACTAATGGCCATTTTACAGACGAAAAAACTGAGAATCAAAAAGATAAAGAAATTTGCCCAAGGTCATGATGAGAGAGTGACAACCAGTAAACAAATAATTATTGAGCACCTGCTGGTGCCAGGACTACTCTGGGCTCTAGAGACACAGTGGCAAACAAAACAAACTGTCTATTTGGATTGTTGTGTTGAAGTCTCCTGTGCCATGCTGCCTAATGGGGACAGAAGAAAATAGCAACCATGAAGCCAGCCTCTCTCTCTTTGAAGTTCTAGGCAGCAAGAAGGAAACAGCTCCAATCACTATCCAGTAGATTCCTCAAGGCACAGGCACTGAGGTCAGACTGCATCAGTTTAAATTCTCCCAATAACACTTACTAGCTGCATGACCTTGGGTAAATTATTCCATTTCTCTGAGCTTGTTTTCTCATTTGTAACATGCACACAATAAGATTGTTGTGAAAATGTAATAAAATATTAATGTGCTTAGGATAGTGCTTGATATAGTATACCCAATAAAAATTAGTTTATCATTATTAGTGTTGCTAACACTATTATTGTTAGTCAGTGGAAAGAGAAAAAAGGTCCAGGCTGTTAGTGGCAAGAAAAAACTGGCAGTTCACAAATATATGATCAGCCCATAAACGCCCTCTCACATGCTCTGTCATATATCAGGTGGGATTACCTCTCTACATGTTCAAAGACTCCTTCAGGCTCCCCTTAAAGCAGATTATAAACTCTCTGAGAGCAGGGACTGTCTCACTGATCTTCATAACCCCAGAACCTCTCAGACTAAATATTAGACCAAAGCTACCCAACTCCCAGGCTTCAGAGGCCAACAGGTGGTCACATACCATATGCTCCATGCAGATGCTGATCTCTCCATCGCTGTAGAATGCACCATAGAAGCCCACAATGTATGGGGAGTTACACTCATGGAGAACCTGCAGCTCCCTTATTATCTGGTTCCGGATCGCAGGTTTGATCTCCAGGTGAATTAGCTAGGGAAAGAAAGGTGGGAGGAAGAGAGGTTTTAAAAACATATAAATGGATGGATGGATGCAACTTTCTTAAATGCTTAAGCTCTTAAAGTAGGATAAGAGGAAACAGGCAAGTTTTAACAAACAAGTTTCCTCTCAACCAAAGCACTGAGTGCCAACATACCAAGGCAGATGCCAGCACTTGAGGACCTGTAACCAGGGGAGGGCCAGCTGTGCCTCTGCTCCTAGGAGCCAAAACTGAGAAAGAAGGACTCACCCTCCCAAGAACAAAGCTGAAGGACAGGTTTCTCCCAAAACGACCTGTGAAGCTGAGAGATCAAAGGAAAGTGGCCTTGAGAACTTGGTTGATTCTCAAGGGTTGTAAGAGTAGAAAGAAATAAGGAACTGGGTATGCTGACCTAAGCTGCCCAAGAGATTTCTCTTTGACCTCAGAAACCTAATGTGGTTGAGATTTAGTCAAGTCCTCAGGTGCCACCTTATATCCCCCTAATTTGTCCCGTTTCAGCCAGGGAGACAGGTGACAGAAACATGAAATGGTTTCTGAATAAGGCTGAACTTCTAAAAAGAGTCACAGACCAGGAGTGCCAGAGGACATGGAGGTAAGCAGTGGTTATCAATGGGCTGCAGCAGCTAGTGCAAGCTAGACAAGAGGTGGGCCTTGAAGATGCAGACTCTTTGAAATGATGAATAGCACAAGCAAAAATATATGGACAGGAAGGACCATGTGCTAAAAACATGGAAGAGTCCAACTGCACTGGAGCAAGGGGCTGTGTTCAGAAAGAGGACCACCCAGGGTAGATAGGAAGGGAAGACTGCATGCCATATGGTGGGGAGCAGAGATTTTACACAGAAGGGAAATGAGGGGAACCACTGGCAGGGCTGAAGCAAGGGGAAACAACTTAAAGTGAGTGCTTTGTGCATCACTGGGGCTGGGAAAATAAAAGCAGCTTCTCCTGCACTTGATAAATAGCACACACGAAGGATCCCTTGCTATTATTTTCCAGTCTGGGGATAGGATACACTAACACATCATTAATGTGTTTACCTATAATCTGATAGATAACACGAGTTTGAAATTCAAATAGCACAAAAGGTACTGAGTGAAAAGTCAGTCTTCCTTCTACCCTTGCCCCAGGCCCCCAGGTCCCAGGTCCCCAGGTCTTCTAAGAGATAAATCAATTACATGTTTACCCAGCAAATTTGATTCAGTCATTTTATTTTTTTAAAGGCAGCCTCACCTTTCTGGCCATAACCAGGCCGGACGGCTGGTGGGAGACCTTGAACACCACACCACCATTGCCAGCACCCAGCTCACTGATCTTCTCAAAGTCATCATCCTTCAGTTCCCCCACCTTCTGCTTCTGGGTAAGAAAGGCCTCAAGGCGCTTCCGCTGCTGCTCATCGAGCTCCAGCTCCTCCAGCTTCTTCTGCAAAGCCTCCAGGTTGGTCCTGTCACAAAGGGGAGAGCACAGGTCAATACTGTCACCAGAGAAGTCCACCCAATGGAAGAGGCTGGGGGGAAGGTTCCATCACTGTGCCTCTGCCCTCTTCACTCTGCCACCCTACGCAATTTACCACTGCCAAGGCCTCGGTTTCCTCATTTGTAAAACAAGGGAATTAGGTCTCTCTGGATACGCTGTGAGTCTGCAAGAGGAACCAAGGAAACTATTGAACTGAAGGTGACTCCAGAATGAGCCATCTTAATTTGCTTCATAAGCCCAATTTCAAAAGCCCCACTAATGTTGGTTGTATTAAATTGACACCATGTACAAAGTAAAATCTATTTCCTAAAACCACTAAACTGAAATCAAACCAAATCATCAAAAGAGGCTCTAAACTGAACCAGAGCAGTAGACATTCTCTTTTCCAATGGGATCAAGTCAGAAACCAGGTTAATCAAAATAAAGCAAGAAATCATAAAAAGATATACCTAATTTTTTTTATTTTTGCATAATATATATAAATATACATTCGTTCACACATCTTTTAACATAGGGCAAGGCCCTCTCTTTGAGTAAGAGTCTGACATCATCTTTCTCACATGAAGCAGAACAATGTCTATCATTTCCAATTCCTGGTTCTTTAAAAAGAAATAAAAATGCAGACATAGAGTAATATTGGAATAAAATTCTAACAGTTTTATGATTTGCCCAATCTTAATGCTCATCTAATTGGAGAGTAGTAATGCTTTTTAGTGACTTGAACTTGAGTCTTTCCATAGCTTTTAACTAGTATTCACAGGAGGGGGAAAAAGAAAGAAAACCACCTCCTTTGCAGCCACATTTCATCAGTTTTTCCAATATTTAAATATATTACTTAATTGCAAATACCAGCTAAAACTGTACAAATGGCTTTGGGAACAAACTGGCTCTTGGTAAGCACATAATTCAACCAGTGGGTGCTAAAGTGAGTGGGCAAGGCAGAGAGCAGCCTGCTAGCTGTGCATTCAGCATGCTGTGGGCATCACTGTTTTACAGAGAGAACTGAAAAATGTTCATTACTCCTGGGAGTTCGATAAGAGGGTGGTGAGGAGGGTGGTAAAGAGAGCTTCCACTGTGTTTCATTTTATTTCAGTCCTAGTCTAAACAAACATCACAGGTGACAAGACAGGCCATCATCACATACCAGAATGTTTGTGTGCCCTCCACCACCCCCCCCCCACACACACACACACTCTCACACTCAGAGACACACCATTTCTGAGCTTGGAGGGTAGAAGCAAGCATAATTTCCTTTCTTTATTCACACTCTATTCCAATCCTCAAGAAGGCAGGAAGATGGAGACCTAATGCCTCCCAGTGTATGGGAAGATCCAACACTGCTTTACAAATAACACAGCACATGGAGCCAAAGAGGACACAAGGCTGAACTTACCAATTTTCCTCACTGGGAAACTCTGGGGAAAGAAAGCTCATGTTATGGATTGAATTGTGCCCCCCCCCACGCCCCAATTCATATGTTGAAACCCTAACTATGTTTAGAGATGGGACTTTTAGGAGGTAATTAAAATTAAATAAGGTTATATAAGTGGAGTCATAATCAGACAGAATTGGCGGCTGCCTTACACTCTTGCACACATTGGCACTCTTATCTTAGAATTCAAGCCTCCAGAACTGTAAGGAAACAAATTTCTGTTGTTTAAGCCACCCAGTCTGTAGTATTTTATTATGAAGCCCAAGCAGGCAAGGACAGCTGGTCAATATTTTCATCCTACTAAAAGGCTCAACTAAGTCTCAGCTGCCCCCAGACCCTCAGGTAGGACTTGGGACAGTGTGACTGGACTGCACTGTGCACACACTCTGGTTTCCTTTCTTTCAGGTCTCTCCACAAAGGAGCCCATTGATGACAACATTTAGAAACACGTGTCAAATGCTGACCCCATAGCTAAAACTTAGTTGCTGTTACAGTTGCCTGGAGGGCTCATCAGGCCAGCTAGAAATGCAACTCCAAAAGGTATTGTCAAACACACATCCACTGAGTGGCTATGGGGGAGAGAGGGAAGGAGGGCTGTGTATTCTTCTGTTTCATATGCATTCATGCATTTAATCCACAACCCTAAAATTACAACAGATAGCACACTCAAGCACAGGCAGGTGAAAAAACTTGTCCAAAGTCACAAAGAGAGTACATGGCAGAGCCAGGATTCAAACCTGGGCAAAAAGAATCTCTAACCTTAACCATGATGCTGTGTAACCTCTTCAAAATATTCAATATGCTTTCAAGGGAGGCAACTTGCAAACATAGATAAGTTCCTAGTGTAGGCATTTAACACACGAGGCTCAATTAGACATGAAGATGGTTTCCCTACATGAAGAGCCCGTTGCCCCAGATGCAATCCTGTTTCCCCTGCACATCAATCTGAACATTGCCTTGCAAGTAACAATGGCCACAAGAATTTCCACCTGTATAGATGTAGATGTGAACAAAACTAACTCCATCTCTGTGTCCTAGATTCAATTTCATCTTTTTGTTTCATGTGACCTTTGACTAACCTCACTGTCCTTAGTAAAGCATATCAAAGATTGATGATTACCTGTGCTCCTTAAGATGTAGCCATACATATTTTCATTAGTAAGAGCCAGAGTGGCATTGAAATGGGGCAGAAACAGAATGTTGGGGAACCAGCTAGTATTGTAAGAAATATTAACCATGCTCTGTTAACCATGATTGTTTTATTCTGATTAAAGAAGGCACATTCCACCCTGGTTGGACCTGACCTGGAGATGCAATCCTTCCTCCCCACTTGGAGCTGCCTATTATCAAAAAAAGATGAGCAAACATTTGTTACAGAAACCAGAATTGCCAGCCCTTTGAAGATCCTCAGCCCTTTGAAGATCCTCAGCCCTCTTTGCATACCTGCAGGCCTTTGCAAATCTCCAGCCTGCTTACCTGTTAATTTTGGCACTCCCTTTGGCTATTTCCCCTTGTAATCCAGCCCTTGCATATCACTAAGCCCTTTGAAGACCTCTAGTCCTTTTGCATATCTGTAAACTACCCTTTTGCCCACTTTCCTTTGTACTTATGCCTATATAAGCAGCTGACTTATGGTGGGCTGCAGAGCAGATTTTTGTGGATAACCTGCTGCTCTCCCATGCTGCCGGCAATATAGGAATAAACGCTCAGATATGATTCAACCCTGTCTCTGCTTAATTGGCTCAAGTAGTGACAGGCAGCATGGACTCATTACTTGTCCACTTACAGCATGACAACTGGGATAAATAACAAAACTGATGATAGTACCTATAATAATAAACGGGCTAATAAATATGCTAATTAGACTGGACCGGAAGTCCTTCCTGACGAAGCCGGGGCGGAGGGAAGCCAGCCCCAGTCTGAGTACCTGCGGGCAGCCAGAGGAAAGCCAGTCTGGGTCCTGAGTGCCTGCCAGTGGCCGAAGGAGGGAAGCCCGGGTCCCGGGTACCGGAGGGAAGCCGGTGCGACAGCCAGGGGGAAGGCCTACTCTTGCACTAATTTTCGTGCATCAGGCCTCTAATCAATTATAAACAATCATCTATCATAAGACCACCAGGAAGGATGGCCCCTGGTATTACTGCATTCTTTGCCCCTTTGTCTTGTCAATCATTAGAGTTATACTATCAAAAAACTATTGGAGGCTCTTTCTTTCCAACTTGCCGGGAACGATGGCTCATGCAAAGAAGGGTGGTGAGAAGAAGAACCAAAATGGCGGCATAAGTAAACACCTATACTTGTTGCCTCTCACAACCACATCAAAATTACAACTAAAAGACAGAACAACTACCACCCAGAACTGCGGGAAAGCTGGCTGAGTGGAAGTTCCACAACCAGAGAGGTGAAGAAAGCGCATTGAGACTGGTAAGAGGTGCGGAAGCGCAGAAAGTGCTGGCACCTGGATGTGCTGCTCTTTTAATCGGGAGGGAGATACAAGCTCCCACTTGCTCTGAACTCCAGTTCCAGGTGAGACTCTGGGGGACCCAGACACATACGGGGAGAAACTGGACTGTCTGGCATCGGGACAGGAACGCAAGGGCGGCTTTCTCTCAGAGGTGCTCGAAGCGATCATTGTTCCTAGGGCTGATTGGCAGCCGTTGCTGTTTGCTCCGCCCTGGTGATTCCCAGAGACTCCGCCCCTCCCAATTTACAACCCCACCCAAGCTGTGCCCAGCAGCTTTTGCATATGAATGGCCTGTCCTTTCTCCACCTAAAACCTGCCAAATTGCAGCTGGGTCTGAGAGCCCCAGAGCTTCCAAAAGAAGGCCCAAGGCCGGTGGCAGCAGCCTGCCTTACTTCACAGCTCAGCCTCATCTGGGCACTTCCAAACCCCATACAAAGAGGAGGAATATGCAGATCTCTCTGTAGCTCCTGCTGGGCGGCCCCAGACAGTGGCTGACCTTGCCCATCCTTGGAGATCCAAGAGCCAGTGTACCCAGTGGTCAGAGTGAGACCATACCAGATTACAACTCTTCAGATCCATAAGAGACACACTCAAGGGGCAGACTCAGTGAGCACCAAAGTCCCACTGAAGCAAGTCCTGCCCCGTAAGGGTGTCTCCTGCGCAACAGATCTTCCAGTGTAGACACAGCTGATTCTCACAGCCAATTGACCTGGAGGTCAATTGCTCCGAGTGATACCAACAGCAATCAAGGCTCAACTACAACAAGACTGTGCACTCAGCCCACAAAGGGGTGCACCAAGAGTGTCAACCTCAGGTGACTGGGGAGGCTGAGCCACTGGGTCCTATGACACCTACCACACAAGGCCACTCTATCAACTCAAGGAGACTTAGCAGTTACCCAGTACATAGAAGCAAACACAGGGAAGCAGCCAAAATGTGGAGACAAAGAAACAAGTCACAAATGAAAGAAATGGATGAAAGCAAACTACTGGATATAGAGTTCAAAACCACGGTTATAAGGTTACTCAAGAATCTTCTAGAAACCTCCGAGAAATTTAGTGAGACCCTCAAGGAT